GGCAGCAATTGTCCGTGGCTGGGCTTTCGCCCCTCATTCCGACTTAATCTGGATGGAAACATCAAGCCCTGACTTGGTCGAGTGCACCAAATTCGCTGACGGCGTCAAGTCTATGCACCCACAGATAATGCTGGCTTACAATCTATCCCCTTCTTTCAACTGGGACGCGTCTGGAATGAACGATCAGCAGATGATAGATTTCATTCCGAGGATCGCCAAACTAGGCTATTGTTGGCAGTTCATTACTCTTGCCGGATTCCATGCTGACGCCCTCATTATCGATACTTTTGCTAAAGATTTTGCACGACGGGGAATGTTGGCATACGTTGAGAAAATCCAGAGGGAGGAGAGGAAACATGGAGTTGACACATTGGCTCATCAGAAATGGTCTGGTGCAAATTACTATGACAGAGTCTTGAGGACTGTCCAGGGAGGAATCACTTCAACTGCTGCTATGGGCAAAGGCAACTTACACTCCCCCCTTAATTTCCCCCAAGATTTTGTATCAAATTTTCTTGTTATATAATGTTAAATTTTAGGATTTTTTTTGGTTTTGCAGGGGTGACTGAAGAACAATTTCAAGAGACATGGTCAAGACCGGGAAACGACGACTATGGCAACCAACAAAGCCAGAATGTAGATACCCGAATGTGGTTTATGGGAGCTTGAGAAGTTTCTTTAGTTTCAATTTGTTGATTGTGGAATTCCGGGCTTTATTTGGCCTGCAATCTTTATGTTTTCCATTCTTGTTTCCTGCTATGTGAAGCTTTTTCATAAAAGAAAGATATGTTATGACTGCAAATTTTTGTAATTTTGTTTACAAACAGCAACATTAACGCTGTTGAATCACGTCGTCCAAGTTTGAGTTAATTTTCTATCAAATGTTCGATACATATAGAATTTTATGAATAAGTGACGATAAGATTTGAATACAAAATACTTGCTTGGTCTGACAATATATTGAAGACGATAAAACTCTAGTTCATCTCCAACCGTTTGCAAATGGTCCCTAAGCTTTAGGATGTTTCCCGCTAGTCCCTAAAAATATATTCCTTCTAAAGAAACTAACGGCTAGACTGATTTTACCAACAATAGGGTTGTGCCATGACCAATTGTCCAAAAAAATCACGGATGGCTCCTTCAAAGTTCAAACACAAACTTTGATCAATCAAAATGTACATGACTAACAACACAAAATAAATAATATTCAACAAAACAAATCCGTTTTTCAAAAACACTTTCAAGTTGGAAAATTCACGTCCATGGTTATGCCATATAAGCATACTGCGCACAGCAAAATGAATCGACCCTCATTTGTTTGGACTAAAGAAATCAATTTCAAAAACTATTGAGATAAATATTATAAAGATCAGTGAATAAATATAGACATTTTAAAGTTTAGAACCATTTGCAAGAATGCCTACAATTTGAAGGATTTGAAGGACGAATCTTGTATTTAATGTGCACGTTGAACCATCTCTCCTAAGAGTTTCGGACGTCACATGGAAAATGCATTAATTGATGGGAAGTGATCCAACTATTAGTAATTATTTGCTCCATGGTTTTAGAACAGAAAGCACAATTATGATTGCAATAAACAGGAGCAATATGATGGAAATCATCATGCATTTTCTTGATTTTTTCTGCAAGCTTTTAGCAGTATGGAGAGCGTCTGTACCCATGTTTACATGGTCTACTGCATTCCTCACCTGTGAAAAGTTTCCAGGAAAAAAAAAATATTAACATTGAACATAGAATGTTAAAATTAACTCGAAACAATTCATGGCATTTCGGTCATGTAATGTGATGATGATGTGGTGTGGACTCTGTGAATGATGTAATAAATGTGATATGGTGCAAATGGATGTGTGACATATATTATTGAGCAAGCTTTGGCAACTTGATGGATGCCTAATGCATGATGATAAAAATACTAACTATTGCTTTATGTTCAATGGACAAAAAATCGTGTTACTACCTAAAAGTTCTCAGATGCTGCTTCATAAAATCACTTTCTAATAGTAGTGTAAGTTTAACTAGAGCTACTATGTGCATAGCTATTGATTAGGAAAATGACAAGAAGCAAACTTGTCATGCCTCATTCTGGCTCCAAACACGGGCCGCGTGACAGCCAACTAACAAACCAATTCAATCCCACACTCCACGTCACTATCATACCTGATCTAACCGAGTCCGTCAAACACAAGTAGTTGAAGTGATGCACCACCTCAGTTGAGGCGCTATGTAGCACCTCACACTTCATGGTCGAGATGAGGCATCACAGCCTGTTGCAGTGCAATTCTAAAGCGATTGGCCTCTAAACAGACAAAGACATCTTCTTTCTTCGCCTCTTCCAAGAGATCTTCCGTACAAGATCTTCCGCGATTGATTGATGTAACATCTCTGTAGCAGACGCCTCTCAATCAATCTATCAAGCTATTTTTCAGATATCAGACTATACCCTTCGACAATGCCATCCAAATACCAAACTATACAGATGTGCAAATACTTCCTATTTGTCTCAAACTACCTACACCTATGAATATACAGAGATTAAAATGACTTGAGCACCCTTGCACTCTTCCAAGGTCAGATAACTCCGACAACTATAATAGCTATTATTGGATAATAATGGCAACACAAGTTCATTTTCGGGTTGGGTAATTCCACTTGTACAGTGCCAGGGAGACACTTGTCTCCCTAGCATTGGCCAGGACAGAATTCGGTGTACTTGTAACACGGTCATTTCGGGTTTTCTTCTGAAGTTTCTTTGCATCCTGAAGTGCAGTTGTCCCTGATTGGACATGATCAACTGCATTCGACACCTGAACAACATTGCCATTAACTCGGAACACTATGCAATTCATGTGGCTTTATCACATATGTTGGAAAATGTTTGCTGATTTTGAAGAGGCCCAATTATATGCTGCTACTCTGGCCCAAATTTTTGGCCCAACTAATTGGTCCAACAAATTAGAAGAATCTGAAATTGTGAACTATATATAACTTTAAGGGTTTCTCTGCAATTATTATATAGACTTTTGATTTTAGGTTTTAAGAGATATTTTCTCTTAGTTCACATGCCGCTGCCTTCGTTTTTTCATTTTACGCTCATAGAACAATGCTCTTTTTCATTATTCCATGTAAATTTGGTCTCCATTTTCTTGTTTGAATTTGTAAGATTTGAGAGTAGAATAATGATTAATGAACTCTTGTGTAAGTTCATATGTGTAGTGGAAGGATTGTGAATATTTCTACCGGTTTTGTGGTTTTTGTACTGTAACTCGTTTTTGCTTATTTTTGGGCAATTTTAGTGAATTTGAGCTTATTCTTAACGGATGCTGAACGGGGATTAGGCGTTAGAAGTGGTTGCCGAACCTCGGGGCCTTTGAGCTGAAAAATCTTGTATTCTTGTTATTGTTGGTTGATTTATTTTCTGTTCTTGTTTACTAATCGAAACATAAAATCGTATTTGGGACCAACACACATGATCTNTCATTGAGCAGTACTCTTTTTCATTGTTCTCTGTAAATTTGGTCTCCAGTTTCTTGTGTGAATTTGTGAGATTTGAGAGTAGAATAATGAACTCTTGTGTGAGTTCATATGTATAGTGGAAGGATTGTGAATATTTCTACCGGTTTTGTGGTTTTTGTACTGTAACTCGTTCTTGCCTATTTTTGGGCAATTTTAGTGGATTTGAGTTTATTCCTAACGGATGTGCAACGGGGATTAGGCGTTAGAAGTGGTTGCCGAACCTCGGGGCCTTTGAGCCGAAAAATCTTGTATTCTTGTTATTTTTGGTTGATTTATTTCTGTTCTTGTTTACAAATCGAAACATAAAATAGTATTTGAGAACAACAGTGGTATCAGAGCTTAGGGAAATTTTTTTTTTTTCGATTTGAGTTATTGCTTTCAGATCTTATTCGTTTTTGGGACACGATTTTGAGAAATTTTGTTTTTCAGATTTGTTCAATTTTGTTTACAAAAGTTTCGGTGTCTCGATTCTCTGAAATTTTTGTGGATCTAGAAACTTTACTTACAAGAATTGCTTAACTCGCCTTTGACTCGTTTTTTGATATGTTGTTTGGCCACTGAGTTCCTATAAATCGGTTCAACTCATACTGAGTTTAGCTAGTTGGGTTGAGTCACGAGTCACACCGAGTTTGCCATTTGCAGTGTATACAAGTAATTTATCTTTGCTGTCAAGTATCACAGTATATATAACTGATATTTTTAAAGATTTTGGAATCAAATTTTCTTTAAAATTAGGGTTTCGAGAATCTCCTCTAACTCTACCTTTGTCTATAGGTCCCTGTGAGAACCTAGAATCTGAGGAAATTAGGGCTTCGATTCAAGAAACCAATTCTTCACAAAAGTTTTGAAAAAACGTTTTTCTTATAATTGTGTAGATGCTGTGATATAACAAATTCTTTAATTCTGTATTGATTTCTTGGTTATACTGTTGACCTGTACTAATAGTGGAATTGATCTGTTCAGGGGTTGAGATTACTGTTTTTGAAATTGTTCTTCGTTGGAGGTACATTTTTCTGAACCCCCTCTATTCACTATGTGTAAGCATAATTGAATAGTATTTTCAATTCATGTGAGTAATCTGTGGATTATTCTTGCATACTGCTGTCTTATTAAATTTGGTTATCTGTTATTGTCGACTGAGATATATCTTTGGCTATATCGTATTTGTACACTGATAACACATACTGCACACCATGACTTCTAAGGTTGATGTT